AAAAAAAAAAAAAAAAAAAAAAAAAAAAAAAAAAAAAAAAAAAAAAAAAAAAAAAAAAAAAAAAAAAAAAAAAAATAGTCGAATGGCAGCTTCAGATAAAGCTTGGCTGTCAGACCATAAAATTACACATATTCTCACAATCGCGAATGATATTCCACCTTATTTTCCAGAGGTTAGTGACGACGATAAATTTAAATACATTTATAGATTTATAGATTTAAAATTATTATAATATTTTTATTTATATATTTATATTTATTATATTTATTATATTTATTATAATATTTAGTCGTACGTATATAAAGTAATTCATGTAAATGATTATGAATATGTAAATATTATGGAACATTTTGACAACACATATAAATTCATTCAACAAGCATTGGAAGAAGAAAATGGAAATATTCTCGTTCATTGGTATAAATTATTTTTTACATTATCTAAAGTTATTTATCTAACGTTTATTATTTAATGCTTTTATCATTATTATTGACAGCCAAGCTGGAATTTCACGAAGTCCTTCTGGTAAGAAAAAATTTTACAAGTTTTAATGTTAAATTTTATTTACATTAACCGATAATACGATAATATAATTAATATACATATATAATAAATATAGTTTTAATTGCTTATATTATGAGAAGTCGACAAATTTCTTTTGATAAAGCACTCGAATTTGTTAAAAAGCAACGTCCAGTAACTTGCCCCAATCAAGGATTTCGTAATCAATTGAGGTTGTATGAATCTATGAAATATCAAATTACCAAGGCGAGTCCAAAATATTGGGGTTATTTAGCCAAAAGATGGAGTAGAACAATTTTACAGTGAGTATTTCTTTTTAAATTTTAATTTATAATTTTAAAATAATTTTATATATAATTATCATAATTTTAATTTACATGTTTTGTATTTTTTTTTTTTGATTTTTTATTATGAAATAGCGCCAAAATCAAAGCATGAACTTTGATATCAATACATATATACATATACACGCATTTATATTTACATTCAATTTCCATATCTTCCACATTTTCTATAAATAGATATTTATTCGCGTCCAAAACTATTAAATCTATATTATTAAAGTTTAGATGTTTCCTTTCTTCAATTTTTTATTTCGTGAATTTAATAACAAATTATTTTAGAAAAAATAAATTCACAAATAATCACTCATTATAAGATTTTCTTTTCTTTTAGACTTTACACATTCATTTTTATTATATTATTTAAATTCATATACAATATAAATATTTTTTATATATAAATTTTCGTTGTTTCATTATTTGTATATATACAGTATTTTAGCTTTTTATATTCACGTTATTTCAGTTATTCATGTGATAAATCACACGATATAACAGAGTAATGTATACTTTCTAGAGACTAGTAGAGACAAGTAGAGATAAATACTTTGAATTTCATTCTTTATGTATTATATAAATTTCCCCCTTTTCTTCCTTTTTTTTTCGATTGTTAGTTGATTTTATTTTATTTAAATATTAAATATTATTTTATTACAAATTAGTCGAATTTATCAAATTTATCTTTATTGTTACCCAATTCAAATTAGATATAAAGAAATAAAGATAAATATTTTATTTTTCCGTTTATAGATTTTTATAATAATAGTTTATTGAGTATATTACGTTACATATTCCCATCATCTATAAAAATACCAATGATTTAATGGTATTTAAATATACGCCAAGAAATATCAATCTTTTGTCAATCAATCTTTTTAATTATTCTCTTCTCAAAAATCTCGAAATTCTAAAAGTGAGAAAAGAAAATTTTAGAAATAAAAATGTTGAGCGATAAAAATAAAAATATTACTCCTGCAGGAATTATCGTCACTGAAACAAATAACCGAATTATTCCAGCTACGAGACGTCCAGATGGAAGTCTTCGCAAAGAACGTCGTGTTCGTCCAGGATTTATTCCACAAGAAGATATTGCTATTTATAAGAATAGATTTGTGGCAAAAAAAGAGCATACTGAACATAATAAACGTAATGAAAATAATGAAAATAATGAAAATAACGGTATATCATCACAAAATAATGTAACTTATTTATCTTCAACAACAGAATTTCCATTTCAAAATCATCAAAAAACTTTGAATAATAATAATAATCATAATAATAAACAAGAAGAAATATGGTTAATAAGTTTTAACGATGATGATAATTATTACGTCAAAAAAATCGATAATGGAATGGAAATTAATGAATAAAATTAATAATAAAGAGAAGAGTAGAGTAATATTGTGTTGTCAAAATAAAATTGATTAAAATAAATATGTAAATAATTTGCTTTGCTTTGTAATTATAACACGCGCGTTTTAATGCACAATACTTCGTCACAATCCGTCAAAATTCAAATATTTATTTATTTACGCGATTGTTATCAGTTATTTATTTTTCATTTCCGAACTTTCAATTGTAAAGTTGTATACATTTAAATATATATATTGAATTGAGGTTAGAAAATTCTACCAATTTCTTAATTTTATTATTTCTTTATGATTACATGAAACATAATTCAATAAGTAATAAGTAACCAATTCAATATATTTTAATCAACATCCATCTTGTCGTCTTCTTCGTTTTTCGTTAATAGGGCTTCATATTCAATTAATTGTTTTCTGAATCCAACATTCGGTCTATTGAATATATTATTTATGAAAAAAAAAAAAAGTGTGATAAAATGAAAAAAAAATGAGAGAATGAATGTATAATGAGAGAGTCAAACCTGATCGCCGGCCTTTTTGATGTCACAAATTTATATGCATCTTCAAAAGACATTTTTTGATATTTCATTAAATACGCTATTACAACTTTAAAAATAATGATAATAAAAAATAATATAAATAACTGTGCAAATAATTGTGTAAATAATCATAAAAATTATCTTCTTACTACTAGAACTCCGAGAAATCCCTAGTTGACTAAATATTTTGTTAAAGAAAATTAAATGTTAAGTGATGTGATTATTAAATATACAAACAAAATTAACAAAAAATAAATTTACCAATGTACTAAAATTGTTCCATTCTCCTGTTCTAAAGCTAAATGTATGAAATCTGAAGTTATATCAAAATATTGTGCAATATTTTCTGTTCTATGATCGTTAATTGATATCGTTTTATATTTATAATTCTGAGAACAATATTATTTTTATAATTCAATAATTAATTTTATTAAAGAAATTTTTGAGTTAAATAAAAAATTTACCTCGGGATATAATGGGAAAATATTATCAGCGACGATAAGAATGTGAGAAATTTTATGATTTTTTAACCATTCTACATCGGTTCCTGCTCTTGAACTTTTTTTTAATTTTTAAAAAATTTTCGAAAATCATGATTATATAACAATAATGATGTGATTAAAAAAATAATAATAATAATACAAACCTTCCCAAATATAATCTATCCAATATTAGTGATGCAAATAAATAATTCAAATAATTTGTTTGTAATTCATTCATTTCAAAATTTGGATGTTCCAACAGAAATGCATTCCATATTTTCCATCCTTCTTCAAGGATTCGTGAATATCTTATTTCTGTAAAATTTTCTTTTTCCAAGATATTAAGTAAATCATGTGGTGGATATAAAAATATTGGACCAAAATTTGAACGTGAATTAGAAGTTGAAAGAGGTGGAGAAGGAGTAGATAAAGTATTATTAGAAGTCATTATGTAGTTAAGTGAATGTTTTTCATCTTTATTATCTGAATTATTAATAAATTCTAATGAATATTTTTGATTTGGTTCATTATTTTTAGTATTTGATGATTCATCTTCTTCTTCTCGCTCTCTAAGGCGCATACTTGGTATTTGTCTCGACATGTTTTATTTTTCAACTGAGGAAAGTTTTTTTTTGACTATATAAAAAGGTATTAGTAATTTTTAAATTCCGCGGCGCAGTTATTACACAATACACATGATTCGGGAATCGTATATATTTTATAATATTTCTCCGAATAACCTTTTTTTACGAAACTCTGATATCATAATACCGTTGTACATGATTTCCTTTTTACGTTACTGTCTAAACCTTATTTATAAATATTGGATTGGGTTCTCATCGGGGGAATTGAATTCATTTAGTTCATTTATTCATTCAAATCTAATGAAACTTCTATTTTGTTTCCTTACCAACATTTGTAATATCATTTAAATTATTTAAACTTCTTCTCAATCAACAAAGCTAACTATTCATTTATTATTTATTATTTATTATCTCGAGGAAAGAAACCTCTTCCCAATATTTTTTTTGTTGATATTTTTATTCAAAAGGATAAATTAACTTTATATTAGAGCTGCTTATAGTAAAACAAATTATTCATTTATTTGAATAAAATTTTCCGTTAACATATGATCTCGAAAAAGGAGATGCATAAAATTATGAAATTGTGAAACCCTGTCATCATCAAATTCATTAAATTCATTTTTTTTCTGCATTTTTTAATTCTATAAAAAAAAATGGATTCATTTAGTCCACAGATAGGAAATTCTGCCGATAGTTTTTTTCAAACTGATGCTGAACTCGCTATCCAAGAACGTCGAGCAACTAAACAAAATAATAAAGCTGGTGATCCAATTACTTGTACATCCAAAGTTTTATGCATGGTTTTACCTAATAATAATGATTACGGTTATATTGGAGAATCGGGATTTATCGCAAAAAAGATAAATTTGTCGGTATGAAATAAAAATATAATAAATAAATAATAAATAAATAATAAATAAATAATATATGAATAATAAATAAATAATAAATAAAAATAATAAAGATTTAATTAATAAATTTTATAATCTTTGATAAAAATAGACTGGTAAAAGTGCAAAAATTTATAAAGGTCATAATGGGCCAGTAACTTGTATTGGATTATGGTATAATGGTGGGGAAGAATATCTTATTACTGGATCATGGGATAAAACAATTAGAAAATTTAATACAAAGGTAATTATTTATTATTTTTTATTATTTATTATTAAAAGTTCAAATTAGTCGAAGTATTTTCTCTAATTTAATTTAATTAAATTTTAAATTTTATAAAGAACAGTGAATCTATTCATACATTCATTTCACACACAGATTTTGTGAAATCTTTAATTATTTCCCATATTCATATTATTCTTTTCTCAGGTTCTTCTGATAAAACCATCAAATCTTGGAATCTCTTAACTGGTGAATCATTAAAAGTATTTAGAGGACATACTCGAGGAATTGAAGATTTAGCTTTTGATGAAGGAGAAAACTTTTTATATTCTGCATCTTCAGATAATTTTGTAAGGAAATGGAATCCCTTAACAGCTGAATGTTTACAAATATTTAAAGATCATTTGACTAGCATTTATTGTTTAAAAATTATTGATGAAGAAATGTGGACAGGTAATTTATAACATTATAATTATTAAATTATATTTACATTATTTATTAAATTATTTTTTATTTTTTAATTAAAAGCTTCAGCTGATACGACTGTGAAAAGATGGGATTTATCAGTAAATTATTTTTATTTATTTTAGAAAAAAAAAATTTTTTTCAAGAATAATTTTTGTTAATTTGTTGATTCATTAGACTGGAAAACCAGATACCACTTTTAAACATCCAGATTTCGTCAAGTGTATTTCACTTTTTGGTCCATATGTTATTACCGGCTCACGCGATGAGATAATTAGAGTTTTTGATATTGGGGTTTGTTTACTTTTTAATTCTATTTAAATATTTTATCGTATTTTGTATTTTATTTATTTATTTTTTTATGAACAATTTATCATTATTTTTAAAAATACAGAGTGAAAAATTGATAAATGCAATTGAGGGTCACTTTGATGAAATAGGATGTATGTGTATTAAAGGAACCACTTTATACACCGGATCTTTAGATTGTACAATAAGAAAATGGTCTCTTCATGGTAAATTTTGAAAATTTAATAATAATAATAAAATAATAATAATAATAATAGTAGTAGTAATAATAATAATTTAAATTTTTAAAAGATATAACAAAAGAAACAAAAGATAAAAAAACTGAAATTCAAAAGATTAAAATTGAACCAGTTTTAACAAAAGAAGTTACTGGTATATTACTTACTGAAGAAGAAGAGAAAGAACTTGCAGAATTAATGGAAAGTGATGAATAATAGAATCACAATAAATGTGATACCAAATTAATTAATTTGTTTAATCTTCAGTTTTGCTAAAATATTCTAAAATATTCTAAAATATTCATCTATATACAATTAAATTATACAATTAAATTATTTATCTATAAATTATTTATTTACATCATTTTAATTATTTTCTTAATTGAAATTATAATTTAGTTTTAAGAATAAAATTAAAAATTTAATAATTTTAGCTTTAATTTTAAAAATATTTTAAATATTAATCTTGCATGCTTCTTTCTCTCCAATTTTTTCCTTTAAAATATACTAAAATTGAAAAAATCATTCCAATTAAATTCGCACCAGCTAATATAGTAAACATCCAACCATATCCTATTAAATTTACTATGAGAGGGGTTAATATGGTCATGATTCCTGAGAATATAAATGCCAACGAATCACTTACTGACATTATAGAAGCTGTATGAATTGAATATGCATCAACTAAATATGCAATTGCTGAAGAAAATACCATATGAATACTAAATCCACCTATTTTTTTTTTAAAAAAAAAAAGAGTAAATAAGTCATAATTAATTAATTAATTAATTTAATTTATACAATAATTAATTATGATACAATTGTAAAATATGAATTAAATAATAATAATAAATAATAAATAATAATAATAAAAATTTTAAAAAAATATTAACCAATAAATAAAGTAATCAAAATTATAAAGATGTTCAATTGCATTTCCAATGCCCATCCAAGTATTGAATATGTTATTATAATCAATATTGAACCAATCCAAAAACTATTGATTCTTTTCTCATATACAGTTTCCACATTTCCATTTTCATCTTTTTTCATTGACTTTTCCAAAATATAATCTGAAAATTTTCCACCAATTACACATCCTAAAACATTTCCAATTCCTGCTATAAGATAAACCAAGCCAACCATATAAGTTGAAAGATTGTAGGTAATAGTAAATGGTATTGGTATTATTATATTTTGAATAAACATTATTGTGATTATTAAACTTATATAAGTTGTTATTATGAAGATATTGGGATAAAGGAGAAGACCAAGAGGTTTAAAAAGATTTAATTTATTTTGTGAACGTGATAAAAGGGAACGAGATAATGGAAGTTCAGATGATGATGAAGGTCTTAGGTAATAAGTTTCTGGAACGAATATAAGTATAAGGAGAAGAAGGAGACTAACGTAGATAGTGAGAAACCAATATATCCATCTCCAACCTAAATATTGATCTAAATATCCTCCTATCACAGGACCTAATAAATCGCCAACACAATATCCAGCGAAATATATTCCAAATGCAAAATTTCTTTCTGAAAATAATAATAAAAAAAATTACAGATGTTTCACAATGATTCTTGAAACCACAATGATACTTGAATTGAAGATTAGTTACCATTTGGATTGAAAATATCATTTAACACTCCAACTCCAACACAGATTGCACAAGATGCACCGCAGGCTTGAAGAATTCTCATTGCAATCAATAGCAAAATATTATTTGCAAGTGCACTTATAACACTTGCACATATGAATAATGTCAAAGAGGTAAGATATATACTTCGTCTAATTCCGTACGCATCGGAATATTGCGCCCAGAAGTATGACACTATTCCCCAAAAAATAATATAAACTCCAACTACAAAGTTTAAATTATTTTTTTTTTTTTTTAAAAAAAAAAAAAAAAGATTTAATTTAATTTGACATTATCAAATTATAAATAATAATGATGATAATAATGATGATAATAATGATGATGATGATGATGATAATAATAATACACACGTAATGTATTAACCATGATATCGCTAATTTTTAAATCTGTTCGAATGTCTATAATTGCAGGGTAAAATATTCTAATTCAGAAAATAATTATTAGAATAATATCTCGCGGTTCTTGTATTGTCACGTTCAAAAAAACTCACGTGTTCGTAATAGGTGTCAATATTTCAGCAAATGTGGCAATATAAAGTATAATTTTTTTCCTCCTGGACGACCAATTTCTTGGATCATCTTTTCACATTATTTGATATTTAATTACTTAATTTGAAATATTACGTTTAAATAGTTTAAATAGTTTAAATAATAATTCATCAATTTATTACCTGCACGATGTCTACTACGATAACTAAATCGGTTACGTTTCATATTGATATTTTAACTAATAATAAATTATCTTAATAATATTTCTACGAAATCTTGGTAAAACTCGTAAAATTATTGAAATTATGCTAATCCCGAATTATTTATTTCTTTTTAGTTATTATTTTCAATTATTCTTTTTCATTTGGATGATTGGTGAAAAAAAAAAGAATGAAAATAAATAAAAATAAATAATTCGATCATTAATTACAGATATATCAGATATATGTAAGATTATTATTTTATTACTTATTCAGAAACTTCATTAAAATTTATTATTGGAATACGCACAGCCTGAATTTTGGTAAATCATTACTTACTCAATGAAAGCCTCTTTCATTTTCATTCAATTCTTCTATTTGTTTTGTGTGGCTTAGTAAAGCTTAGACATTTCGATCAGTAAAGATTGGTTTGAAATTTATGGTAATTTGGATAAGCCACATGCATTTTTCTAAATTCAATAAATATGATAGAAATGCAATGTTAAAATTTTGTTTAGAATTTAACAGATTTTTTGTGGCAAATGAATTTAGAAAATATTTTGTGGTATCTTTTAAAGAAAACTCATTCAAAATTATGTATGATATCTTCCGTGCAATTTCTAATCACGTTACTAAGGAAAAATGTTGAAGGAATATTATTAATAATTACATCACAATGACGGGAAATAATTTTTTTTTTTAATTCAAATTCAATGATTATTTATTATTTTCTCTCATCAAAAAAAAAAAAAGATGTCGAAAAATGAAAACAAAGATGATCTTTTATCTAAAAAACACGAGCATAATTCTTCTAACAATAAACAACATATTTCATCCGAAAATTTTGACGGTAAAGAATTTACGTTAGTAGATCCATCGGGTACATCCCATAAAGCCATATTATTTATTGAGAATAAAGTCCCGGAAGCAAATTCGAGTGATAAAAAAAAGAATGATCAAAATAATCAAGAAAAGGACAAGCAAGAACATGATCGACAAGAAAACCACAAAATTAAATCTGAGGAAGCTGAAAGAAAATTTAGATATGAGGAAAGGAAACAAAATAATCAAGATACAAATAAAGATGAAAGGAAGAGCAGCGATGCGCTAAAAAATTCTATAAAAGATACAAATAAAAATGAAAGGAAAAGTAGCGATGCGCAAAAAAATTCTATAAAAGATACAAATAAAGTTTCCATTAAGCGAGGTCAAAAATATGAAGAAGAAGAAGTGGAGACTCTACCATATAGCCCATATAAAACTCAATTACCTCCAACTTTTATGGCACCTTCATTAACATTTCCACCAACTGGTATTCCAACTGGCGTTCCACCAATTGGTGTCCCTTCAACTGGCTTCATTCCAACCAATATACAGCTACCTGATCAACCGATACAGCAGTCTTTAACAGTTCAACCGAATATATCACAAAATGAGACAGCCGATCGAAGTGCAATTATTGCTTTACAACAACAAATTCCAGGATTGACGCCCAATGAAGCAATGGCTACGATTCAACAATATCAACAACAGGGAATTCCACCAGAAGTCGCCATTGCTATGATTCAACAAACTCAAGCTCAGCAAGCTCAGCAAGTTCAGCAAGTTCAGCAATTTCAGCAAGCTCAACCTAATCAAGCGAAAAATTTATATCAAATTCCACAAACTAACATACCTTCAATGGCAGATACACAACAACAAATCCTGGTTAGAGGAAAAGTTATCGAATTACAAGAATTTGGACCTGAAAAAATGGATGTTGATAATTGATGGGTGATTCAATTATAATTTTTTATTATCAAAGTCTAGAATTTAAAGTTGAAAATTTTAAATTTATAAATAAACTGTTTAATGAATGAATGAATTTATAAAGAATTAGATTATTTTATGAGAAGAGGACCTAAATGAAATCCACTATAGTTTATATACATAAATATGAATTTACTTTATATGTGTAAATGAAGAATATTAAAAATACATAAATTAATAAATAACTATTTTGAAACTTATGAAATCATTTTCCATGTAACTTTTACTCTTCCCTGTTCTATCTCTGCGATTTGCTATTTATCATTATTATAATAATATGATTTGATGTGAATTAAATAAAAAAATTATTAAAAAGAATATTAGTTAAGAATATTATTAAATTGTAAAAAATAAATAAATACTTACAGAAAATGCTGTTGAAGACATATCCAAATCACCATTCTTACAGACTGGACACTACAAGTAAGCAACCCAATTTTTTTAATCAAATAAACAAAAAAAAAAATTAAAAATGATTATCACTAAATAACTAAATAAAATACCTTATCCACAATCTTTACTTTAACGCTTCCTTTAGGACCCGTAACTTTTACAAATTTACCACACACAGGCGAATTATTTGGATTTGCGTATGTGCCATACTGCGGTGCGTTCTAAATAATATGCATAGAAATTTTGGAAATTGTGGAAATTACGAATACAAAATTCATAAAAAAAAAAAGGTATATAAGACTCACTAAAGCTGCAACTAATTCAGAGTCATAATTCATCCATCCGCATGATCCGGTGCCTACGCCTGGATCTTTAAAAGAATAATATAATTAGAATATTATTTTTTAATACACATTATTATATATACTGTAAATTCCTATTACCATAATAAGTTCCATCTCCTTCTCCACTTAAATCGATACTTCCTCCTCCTTCATCTGTATTGTCGCCTTTCTTATGTCCGCTGACGGTTGTGACTATAATGGTGACAATGATTGTTATCAGTATCAATAATCCAATAGTTATCAATATTGATTTTTTATATTTCGCAACTCTCGGATGTTTTGTTTCTAAATATCGACTAAAGTTATAATAGGGAATCAACAATACATTCTTTCTAGAAGAGTTTGTGTTAATGGTATTCGACGGAGGAAGATTCGGAAGAGGTTTTTCATTACCGCCTTGGGTTGAAAATAAGTTTACCATTTTTTTTTTTAAAGAAAATTTTTGGTTTGTTATTTTAAAAATTGATTTACGAATTCTATTAAAAGAAAGTAAAATAATTTTTATGCAATATTTTACAATTGAAGTGTTATGTTGCGTTTTATAATGCTTTATTGATAAAATTATAAAAATTCGTTTCGTAGAATGAATTACATTTTCTAATTCAAAAAAAGTAAACAAAGGAGAAGTTTGTGTTAATTGATATTAGATATTGTGACCATGATTTACGGTAACTATTTCCATACGTAGGCGCAACAATACTTACAAAAATAAATATTTCAATTTGGAAATCATAATTTATTATAACCAATCCAATTCACGTTAACATTATTATTGATTATTATTATTGAATTGAAGACACTTTTGAAAGTTAATAATGTATATATAATTTAATTTTTTTTATTAGTTTTAATTGAATAGAATAATAGCAAATGTATTTTTAAAAGAAAAAAAAAAAAAATAAGTATTGATTTTAATTTGTATTATTTAATTAATTTATTAATTTTAAATTTATAAATTTATTATTAATTCGACAAAACCGAGAAAATAAAACAAGAATAAAAATAAAAATAAAAGTAAAAAGAAATTTTAAAATTTAAATAATGCATAAAAAATATATATCAATCAATTTCCCCCCCTTTTTTTCTTTTTTATAATCGACAATTCAAAAAACGTTTACACGGAGTTTTCTTTTTTCTCAGTTGTAACAGCAGGAGCGCTCTCGGTTTTAGCTTTCTTACCCTTCCCTCTTCTTCTGCGTCGATCACGAGCAGCATTAGCATTACCTTTCTTAGGCGGTGTGGTTGCAGTTTCAGCTTTGACAGGTGTGACTACAGCAGGTGCAGGTACGGGTGCGGGTGGTGGAGGTTGTTCAATAACACCGTTTAATAAATGTAACTATATTAAAAAAATAGAAAAAGAATAAGTTATTTTTGTATAGCGAAGAATAAATTACAAAAAAAAAAAAAAAAAAGAAAAAGATTTTACTCACAAGAAGTTTCTTTTGCTTTTCAAATCCTTTAACCATCATTTTTCTTACACCAACATCCTGAACTCCTAAATTTACCAAATCTTGATCGGTCATCTTGATGATTTCATCCCATTTTTTACCTTCGAAATATGGGTAATATCTTCCAAGCGCTTCTTCAAATGTATTCAACATGCAAGGCACGTCTAATTAAAAAAATGAAAAAAAAAAAATAATAAGAAAATTATAGAAGAATTTAAAAAAATCAATTATGAAATGAAAACATAAATGAATTAAAATACCATTCAGAATTGAAAAGTAAAGGTCAACGGTTTTATGGTTTATATTTTGTGCAATGATTGCTTTTTGATCAAATGAGTCGTTAACTTCACCTTCTTTCACTTCAATTTCTTGAACAGCATTAGCAGTTCCAGCCTATTTTACCGTATTATTAAAAACCACGTTTTTTCAATTAATAAACATATACTAATAATCTTTTATAATATAAAATTTATAATGTAATACTAACCAAATTTTTCTTGGCTTTAATGAGATTCTTGGTTAATCTTCTTCTAAGGTTAGCATTAAAAATACCCATATGCATCAAATCTTTTGAAGTCAAATTAACGATATCCTGCCACTTTTTTCCTTCAAAAATTACCGATAGAGGTTTTAATCCTAAACCATCGAGCCACTTTGGAAAGTCTATAAATTGAAATATCGTTAGCTAAAACATATGATTATTAAAAATCAATAATAAATTTATCTTACCTTCCAACAATTTCACATCAGTATTGGAAAAATAATTAGATCTAAAATAAATATTATTTTCTTCTAACACTGCTTCCGCTTTCTCATTTAAGATCTGCGCACATTACAATTAAGTATTAATTAAAATTATTAAATGTTATTTATATCAGAGATGAATTTTATATGTTCAGAGATTATAAATTTTAATAATTACCCGGGGTGTTTTTTCATAAGCAAAACCTCGAATCAACAGATCCTGAAAGGGAGCTTCTTTAATACCCAATGCCGTTAAGTCATCTTTTTTCAATTCAATGATTTCTTCCCATTTTTTTCCTTGGAGAAACATTGCAAACGATCCAGCTCCATCTTCAATTGAATGAAGTCGGCATGTCAAATCTAAACATAAAATAAATAAATAAAAATATTAATATATTACGTGCAGAGCAATAAGAATATAATTATTATTCGTATTAATATACCTTTCGTTACATCCAATTTGACACTAGATTTTGTAGTGATACTGTTTTTTGGAGTTGGCAAAATATTTCCTCCACTAACCTTTTTATAATATGTTAATATTATAGGTTATTATATTTTATTATAAAAAATAATTATTGCCAAATTTCGAAAATTTCGAAAATTTCATGCTCTTTCATACATACATAAGAATCTCGAACCTTCCTTATATGCCTAAGAAGTCTTTTTCTAAGATTCTTATTAGGGACACCCAAAAGTTCTAAGTCAGTCATTTTATAATTAATGATATCTTCCCATGGTTTTCCTTGGAAAATTGGAGCTAAAAGCTTTAACCCTAAACCATCAAGCCATTCTGGGAAATCTATACAATAAAAATAATAAATAATTATTATTGATTAGAAAATATTTAGTAAAATGAGCAAACCTCTCCTTGTTTTACGTGAAAATTAGATCAAATTGTACGGCACAATAGAAGAAATTTAGAAACAAAAATTTACTTTTAAACAATTCAAAGTTTACATTAATCCAATAATTCTCATTATATAATCTTCTTTTTTCGTTAAAAGCATTAACTACCGGATTATCTGATGTTTGTGTAGCTTGGACTGTATTTGCTATTGCTTTAGCAGCTTCGGCTGCTATTTTTTTTGTGTCAGTTAATACTGGAATATCAGGAACTTTCGTATCAATAGCGGTAACTGTAGCCAAACCACGTTGAATAATAATACTTCCAAGTTTAATATTTGAGTTTATAACATTTTTAGGAACATCATTCAAAAAGGAACGTGGGAAAGAATTTAATTGATAATTAATTTCAAATTTTGTATTATGAATTCTTCTAATAAAAACATTATTAATCTTTTGACTATTTTTTAATAAAAGTCGTGCGCCATGAGTTAATTTAATTGAAGAAGTCATTTTAGTTTTTTTTTTTTTTTGAGAAAGATTAAAAAAATAATTTTTTATCGAACCCAAAGATTTTAAATCTTTTTTAAATCTGAGAAAAAAAAAAAAGGAAAAAAATTTTCTCTCAAAACGATTGGTTAATCTAATCTAGATTGTTGGAAAGAATTTTGGCCAGAATTGCTAGCGCTTAAAATCATTGGTACTACTAATCTTATTTTTCATATCTCTGGTTGTTCTAGTTAATTCAAGTTGTTTGTACGCCACAGTCTAAAGTTAAAAACGGAAAAAAAGGAAAAAAGACGTTCAAAACGAAATATAAATTCCATCAGTTTTAGTAAAGTTGGAAGATAAATCGAATTTCTATACTACATAATCTATGCATATCTTCCATATCTTCGATAACACGACCATTAATTCAGTCGAAATTTCTTTCAATGAAAGATAACTCCACAATAAAAAAATTTCTTCTATTCATGTATAATTGATGTTATCTAAAAAGCGTAGCGTACATGACAATAACATTAAGTTTAACCACAACAATAAATAAAAATTCACGCTTTTTTCGTGTGAAAAGTCACGATGCTAACGACATATGGCGAACAATGATTAGGTGATAATAATTGATGATAATTGGTTACTTATTAAGTATGTTTGATAATCTTAATTTTAAGCATAATCCAGCTTAACTTTTTATTTTCTTTAAATATCCATCGTTATTAAAAAATATCCGCCGTTATTAAATTATCCGTCATTATTTTATATCTTATCCTTTAAATATGTTACCCATTCCTTAAGCTAATAATTCATTTCCTATATTATCCTCTTTATATTTATGGTACGGAAAAAATACCAGAAAAACTAGAGACACCATTCATCATTTCTACATCAAATGAAAACGATGAAAAAAAGATAGTATGGAATATTACATAATCCTTTATGGAATTAGCGTAGCAACAATGTATTAAACTAATTAAATTAATTAAATTAATTGGGCCGATTATGAATGTAAAAGATAAATTTAAAAGAACCATTGTAAGACACCATAAATCGTGAAAATAACCTAAAGGAGAAACGAATGAATGTGAATGACATAAAATACAACAGATAATGCTGTCAAAATAAAAGAAAACAGAAAAGGAGAAGGATGAATGATTATAATGATATAATACATAACGTTAAAAAAAACCCCCCAAATTTAGAACTATAATCATTCTCTATTTTTTACATGCATGAACTTGAAACAGTAAGTGAACTTTTCCAGAGTGAATTTCGAATGTAGAATTATTTGATAAAAGTTTCAGATGCAATATAAATAATGAAAATAAATGCACTTTTTAGATATAAATAAGCCTTTTTAAATGATATTTAAATTTGGTCGTTTTTCCAAAATTTTTTTTTTTAAACATTGAATTCTTTCAAATTTATACTACTAACCTTATATCAATTTAAAAATAAAAATATCAAAAAATAAATATAATTTTAATAATTTTATTATTAAACATGGGTAATATCTTTACCACCACCTTTGAACGTTATAAACGCAAGATTCCAACAAATCGTTGTAAAGTCTCAAAATCAAATAATTCAAATAATTTTTCAAAATTAAATAATTCCAGTAATTTTTCAAACTGCTATGATATAAATGGTCTTAATAATAAGGAAAGTGACCGTTTAACAATGCAACATTTCGTTACTCGTAGCATATTTAAATCCAATTTTTGCGCTCCTGTGGATGATATATTGCAAATGCCTGGAGCAAAAGTACTGGATGTGGGATGCGGTCCAGGAACATGGCTACATGATATGGCATTCGATTTTCCTCACGCGCAGTTTACAGGTGTTGATATATCACCTATGTATCCAAAGGTAATTCAAACATCATCACATGGAAAAAAATAGTATTTACAAGATTGAATTTTTTATTTTATCTATTACAGTTCATTAAGCCACCTAACGTAGAATATTTGCAAGCAAATTTTCTCAAAGGACTCCCTTTCAAAAATGACACTTTTGATTTTGTCGTCATACGAAATATGATCACCGCATTGACAATTGAAGATTGGGAGATAACTCTCCAAGAATTAACTAGGGTCTGCAAACCTAGAGGTTATGTTGAGGTAACATATTATTATGATTTCTTTTTATTTTTTTTTATTTTTCGTATTTATTTTTTTTTTAAAAAAAAAATTAAATGTAGAGTACGGAATTTGGAATTCCTGCACTCAACGAAGGTCCCATGTCCTCCAAAATATGTAAAACATGTAGGTTTTTTTTTAAGTCACGCGAATCCTTTCACTTTCACATAAATTATTTTCTTAACTTTCATTCTTTTTTTGTATTTCCATGATACAGGGATCAATACTATGAAATCTAAAAATATTGATCTTTCTTTCTCAGTTCATTTACCAGAACTATACTCAAGCTTTTTAAATCAAGTCGGTTCAATTTCTCGATGCGTAACTATAGGTTTACGAGGTGATCAAGTAGGTAAAGATATGGCCGAAAATTTATTAATGCTTGCTAAAGCATTACAACCGGCTCTGGCTCCTGTAATGTGTTCTACAGATCAAGAATATGAAGAACACATAGAAAAGTTTCGAAAAGAGTTAGAGGAATATGAAGCAATTTGCAACATTCAAGTTGTGTGGGGGTCTAAAAGTCTGTAGTAGTTCAAATACAAATAATTCGTTTTCATAAATTATTATTATTTTTTTTAAAAAACTTTTCTTTCAACTTTATTTAGTAATTATCACTAATGTTAATTTTTTATTTATTTTATATTATTACTTTATTTTAATTATTATTCTAAATTAATTATTATTTAATTTAATTATTATTTGGGAGGGTTAAATATAAAAAATTCTGAAAAGGAAAAAAAAAAAGCTACTTTAAAATAAAACAAATAAAACAACTATATGCTACATTCTGCTTCACTGGGAAGTATTAAAATATTCATCATCGTCGTCTCCAGTTTTCAGGAAATCAAACTTATCTTGTGAAGAATGTGAAGAATCATTCTTATTATTTACAAATTCTTTTTCATTCGGATTTTTACTATAATTTATTAAATCTTTATATAACCAGATATTACTTTCTTGAAGTTTTTTATACTCTTTTTCAATATGATTCGGAAGTCGTTTTAATTTTTTACTAAGTAATCTCCATTGTGGTCCATATTCCTTTACTGCAAGAATTAATTCTAAATGTTCATGTTTTTTCCAACTTTTAAGTTTTATTTCTAATTCCTTACGTTTCTTGCGACATTCGCTAGGAGTATGTCCTGGTATATGTTTTGCTACGTTAATCCATTTCTCATCTTCATCTAATATATGTTCATATTCTTCAGATTTTTGTAAAAGAATTTGTTGTTCTTCTTTAGTCCAAGCTTTTCTACATAATGTTACCCATTTATATTGTATTTGAGTAGAGGTACGATCTGAAAAATATTTCTCCGCAATATATACCCAATTGGTTCGATTATTTCTAATCAATGGTGGATCTTTCATTATTTCATATAAAAGATAAATTTCAGCTTCTGTAAAAGGTTTCCGTTTAACCACAACCGTATTCAAGGATTTCCACTTATTTTTACATTGTAATGGGGTCCTTCCATCTATTTGTTCTGAAACAGTTTCCCAATCTTCTCCATATTTTTCTATAGCATCTTTGAGACTTTTCATTTCTATTTCGTCCCAGATATCTTGCCATTTTCTACTACATTTTGCAGCTGTTTTTCCAGGAAATTCTTTAGCTATTAAACCCCATGAAATATTATAAAAAGGTTGCTTTCTAACAATACTTTTAAGTTTTTTAATATCTTCAGGTGTCCACTCACTTCTAGGCCTAAGAATTTTAGAATTGAGTTTTACAGTTTCGGCTTTTTTCAAAACCTTTTGAATTTGAACATAATCAATTGATCCAAATCTTTTCTTTTTGTTAGTAAATTTTTGTAAACGATAATAAAGCTCTTTACACTGAATAATTGATTTATTCTTAAATCCCGTAGCAATTTTATTCCAATCGATTCCGTATATTGAAATTCGTTTTAAAAATATTTTAAATTCTTTTGATGAAAAGAATAAATCCTGGTTGGCAGGTAGATCTATTTGATGTTTTAATTTTCTCCAACGATAAAAGCATTCAATCGGTGACCTATTACATAATCCTTGAGCAATTAAGTTCCAATTTTTCCATCCATAGAGAACGCTTCGTCTTATTAATATATTATCCTCCAGAGAAGTCCATTTTCTACTAGAATTTAATTTTTGGAAAAATAATTGCCTTGGACTATAATTGTATTGTAAAAATAATTTAATACCTATTTTTTTTGGTAATGATCTAAACACTCGTTTCGGCTGTTTGCTAACGCATAAACTATTAATCCTACGAATTTCACAGTCTTTTGATTTTTCTAAAATAAGAGACTTATGAAATATTTATTAATAATTAGGAATAATTGAAGAAATAGATAAAATACAGAAGAAAATAATATAAAATTCTTACAATTCGATTTATTGGTATTATGAGAGGTTTATTGAACGACAAAATAAATAGTTTAAACATTTTTTTTAAAAAAAAAATGGTTACACCCAGATAAGGGATTTTTCCCATCATTACTTGATTATCTTCGATCACACTATTTCGAATATATTTAATTTCACATGATTAATTATAATTACCAAAAGAATTTTCATTTAATTAATTTCAAAAAAATGTAAAAAAAATATCTAAAATATAAATTTTCATCAAAACCAGTTAGCAGATACATGAATGTGTAACAGATTATCAATATGTAATTTTAACTTCTATCTACTAACCTAAAATAAAAATATTATCAAATTCGAGAAAAAATAAAATTGTAAACATTATCATTCTTAGTCATTTAATTCGTATAGTGAACCTTTTCCTGTAATTTTTTATTATATAATTGTAATTAATTTTGGTCACACACGTTTATTAGTTTGATCATCTTCGAACGATAATCAAAAATTATAATTGTATAAATAAAGAATGAATTTATTTTATACCAAAAAATAAAAAATAAAAATGGCTTATATTTACATTATCTATTCTTTAATTCTTTATGTTCTATTTAAAATAATTAAAACAATTTCAACTTACTTTTTGATATCATCAGAACTTAATAAAATTCCATCTCTTCCATTAATAATTAGCATTAAATTGAATATTGGAAATTATCTTTTAGGAGTTCCTTTTGTAACCAATATTAGAAATTTTTTATTAGAACCACTTGAAGAGACCGGGATTGTTAAGGTAAAGGTAATTTGAGAAATTTTTTATCGTTAGAAACGCGTTATTAATTAATTTTGTATATTCTTTTTAGTATTTTGATATATTATGGCAGAGATGGATAATTTTCGTCTCAAGACCTAAATTGTTAAAAGAAATTAATTTCAGATCAGGTAAAGAGCCTAATTATACAATTTATTAAGCCTAAAATTTATTTTTCTCGTAATATTTTTTTTTTTTAAATAACTTAATTAATAAATCCAATAATTATTTAACTATTAAAAAAAAAAAAAAGACGTGTTCCAAAAGATTGATGCCTCTGTACGTTTTTTCATTTTTTCGATTTTTATTATTAATTAATTTATTTTAATTTATGTCGATTTATGTCACAGCCTAACAATAAAATTTCCTAAAATTAAAACTTGTAACATTGAAAAATAGAAACGGCCTATGTCTGATTTCGAATTCGCGTATTTAGGCAGGAAAAATATTTTATTTGAGAATAAAGAGGTAAAAGAAATAAAAAAAAGTTACTTAATAGTTACTAAAATCAAAAGACATTATTAATAAGGTTCTTGATTTGGTTGTTCTAATTGATAGGAACATCTAAGGCATCGAAGAATTGCAAATCCTTCATTTCACCACACATGGGCAACAGAATTATTTGGTGATATAATTAAAGAGTTGTTTAAAGAATTAGATAAGGATTTTAAAGCCAATAGTACTATCAATATTCAAGATATGACTCAATCGTATGAAATTTTTATTTATATTATTGAAAAATAAAAATTAAATAATGAATTAAATAATAAATAAAATAATAATAAATAAATAATACATAATACTTTGATAATTATTTAGGTTCACTTTAGAAGCACTTGGTAAAGCCGCATTTGATTATAACTTTGGGGTAAGAATCTTAATAAAATTTATATCATTGTAAATACTATTATTACTCTACTATTATTACACAGAGATTAACCCCTTTCTCAACTTTATTATTAACAATATGAAAGGCGATTCGAAAATCCACTGAAATTATGAAAGCTTATAATGAAACTATGCGTGGAATATCGAACATGAATTATGTTATGTTTCCAATACTTGAAAAAATTCCAGGATTCAAAAGGACTCATTTATTCCATAACATCAAAATTTTAAATAATGTTATCCTTAATATTATTAATAAACGTAAACGTAAACAAAAACAGCAAACTTTTTTAGAAAATAATAATAACAATAATATTAATTTAACTAGCATGAACGATCATGATAATTATACAAAAAATAATAATAATATTGTTTTATCATCTGAAATATCCGAAAAAGAATTTGAATTTGATAAACAAGAACCAAAATATAATGATTTACTTTCTTATATGTTGAAAGCCGAAGCTGATGAAACAAATTTGAAGAAAAGATTGTCTACGGAAGAATTATTAAATGATTTAAAAGTTTTTTTAATTGCGGGTCATGATACTACTGCTACAGCTATAAGCGCTGCCATACATTATCTCGGAAAGAATCCAGAATGTCAAAAAAAAGTTCGCGAAGAGGTTATTAGTATTATTGGAGACAAAAAAGATGATGTTATACCTACTCTTGAACAAATTAAAGGTATCTTAATCTTAATCTTAATGTTAAAATAAAGTGAAAACTTGAAAATATTATTATGATTAGATTAAATAAATTTTATAAAAATTAGAAATGAAGTACATAAACATGGTAATTAATGAAACCTTGAGAATTCATCCTCCAGCTCCAGCACTTAATGCACGTATTGCTCAAAAAGATACAAAATTGGGGGAATATATAATACCTAAAGGTAATTTTTAATAATTTTCATTACTTTAGATTAAAGATTCTTACGTTATCTCAAAAAATCAAATTTAACTACATATTCAGGTCAAATGATAATACCAAACATTTACGCGTTACATCATTCCAAAAAAATATGGGGAGATGAACCTTATAAATTTCAACCAGAAAGATTTGAAAAAGAAACATTACAATCATCTTATAACTTTATTCCTTTTGGTGGAGGTGTTAGAATTTGTATTGGCATGAATTTCTCGTTGGCTGAACAACGCGTATTTTTAGCTATGTTTGGTAAATTGGTTTTAATTATATTTTTTAAATTTAATAAATTATAAATATAATATTTAGTTCCTCTTTTTAATAATAGTTAGAAAATATCAATGGACAATTCCCAAAGAAACCATACACAACGATAAAATTGAGGTATTATTATTTTTATTTTTATCCTATTAATTGTATTAATTGTCAATAAAATTTATCTTCAATGAATATTATCTGTTATTAGGTCAACAAAACCTATCTTTCTTTATTAGTTCCGAGGAATTTGTATGCTACCTTTGAAAGAAGATATTGAATGAAAATCTCTTTAATGGATGAATTCGATGTACATAATTTAATTTTTTGTAATTCTTTACATTCGTTCCATCTAAAATCAAATCTAACTTGCTGAATATCATTAATAAGTATTCATTGCCACTTAACGTATTTAACAATGTAATTTCTCAATAATAATAATAATTTCTAATTTAAACAATTCTTTTAAAAATAATAAATTTATTTAAATAATACAACCATAAATAATGAATTATTATTACTTTGTTCGATCCTTTCTTTCGGTTTTATCAGTTATCTACATATATTAAATAAAGTAAGTAAATATATTGAAGAACATAAATATGAAATATAAAATGTATTAAATTAATTGAATAACTTAAACGAAGGTATATAGCATATTGATAAATTTCGATAACCACATGACTGGATATAATGATAAACAGTATTTAATTCCTAAGGTCAGTCATTAATCATTCTATTATTTAAGAAGAAATTTTTTCAAAAAAGAAAATATAAACAATATAAACAACTTAGCTAGCGATTTATTATTTAATTCCCAGATCAACGGGATGAAGTTTGCGAAAGAAAAACTTAAAAAAATATAAGTAAACCGAATACAATAATGAAGGAATAATATTAAAAATCACTTAGCTCACTTAGCTCAGAAAATCAAATTTCTCAGGTCAATTATCAATCAATTTATTAATTTTTTTTTTAAAAAAAAAAAAAAAACCTTTCAAGCAATATTAAATACAATAATAATAAAAAACTGTAACAAAGAATTTGAAAATCACTTGGACAGTTAATAATGGCTTATTTATTGCTTTTTTTTTTTTTTAAAAAAAAAAAAAAAAGAAAATATTATAAAAAAACAACAAGAATATAAAAACAGTTAAAATCTAGTATCCAGTTTCCCATCATAATGATATTTTTTTATTTTTTTTTTTAAAAAAAAAGGAAAATATTAAAATTACTTGTCTAAGCAATCCAGAATCCAATTCTTCCAATTATTAGGTAAATTATAAATCGATTTATATTATTTTCAAAGAAAGGAAACAACATCTCAAGTCACATTAGAAAATCAAATACAATAATAAAAGAATAATAACAAAGAATATTATAATCAATTAGCTGGTAATCCCTTCCGATTCCCATATTAAAAAACAATCCATTATTTAAAGAAAACGATCTCTTGAGCTAAAATTAATAAATCAAAAATGAAATGATAACAAGAAATATTAAAATCATTGGGCAGAGAATCCAAATATAATCCCAGATCAATTACCATTATTATTGTTTTTCAAAAGAAAGAAAATGACTTCTCAAGTAATATTAGTCAAACAAATATGATAAAAAGTAACAAAGAATAATATGAAAACACTTTGGCTAATAATCCAGTGTCCGATTCCTTCAAGTCTTTTATTTATTTTAAAAAAGAAAAAGAAAAACCTCTCAATCAATATTAGTAAGTCAAAAATGATAAGTGAATAATAACAATAGTAACAAAGAATATCAAAATCACTTAACTCAGTAATCCAGAATTCAATTCTCCACATTCTTTTACTGTTTTGACAAAAGAAAACAATCTCTTAAGTGATATCAGCAAGCAAAAATATGATAACAAACCAATAACAAATAATATAAGAAATTTTATAGTCAAAAACACTATTTATAAATGGTAGTGACGTCACAAGTTACTATAAATGCGGGCAAATTTGCTCGCAATTCACATGACATGATTTACCGTTTAAGGGATAAATTCTGATGGTTATACAATTTGTGTTAATGTTACACAAACAAAATAAAATCGTGGAATTTCCTTTACGATATCAATTAAATTATCAACTATTGATTGAAGAAGTGATTAGATATTAATGAATAATAAGATGATGAGTCTCGTCATCATTATTACCTATTTATTTATTTATTGGTGATGACCTCAGAATTATGCTTTATTTGACTTCTTTATATGTTACATAATTTGCCGTGCGAATTTTTAATAGATAATATCACAAAAATTACACTACTTCAACTCCGTCCAATAAATTCTAAAGCATATTGCAAAAATTAAATAAATAAATCAAAGAATTTTATATTCATCAGTTGATGTTATTAATTGATTCCTATTAATTAAACTCTGATTTTTTTTTTAATATCAAAATAACCAGTTTGATAAATTAATATTGGAAATCATATTTAGTTTCTTGCGAATACAACCTTTAAACCAATCAAAATAAAAACTTAAAATTGGTGAAAGAATTGTCTATTTTATATATGCAACGAAAACTTAAATTGTAAACATTTATTTAAAGATTTCAATCCCAAGAACAAAATCACCTTGGCTAATAACAAGAAAAGCAATAAAAACGGAAAAAACAGTAAAAACAGTAAAAAAAGTAAAACCAGTAAAAGGAAAAAAAATAGAAATCCACCAGGGAATAAAATGGGAGGTAACTCTCCTTCTCATGACGGTGACTCTAGAAGAGAAAGTAATAAAAATAATTCTAACAGGTCATCTAATAATCCTTCCGAATTGAAGACTTTTCCTAATTATTATAATTCATCAAATAATAAAATGGGTTATTATACCGATCACTCTGAACGTAGAAGAGAAAATAATGTTAACAGTACTTTTAATAATTCTTCCAAATCAAATACTCCTACTTCTTCTACTATCACCTCCCCTAATTACGCTGAATCTATTGAAATTCCTTGTTATGATCCGACAATTAAACCTGGACCATGGGGTAGGATGATAATTATTTAATTATTTCTTGTCTATTTGTTAAAGTTAATATTTACATTTTATTCTTTTTTTTAAAAAGAATTTCAAAAATCGGATTGTCGTAAAGTTAATTGCGGATTGATGTTAACAAATATTAAAAATATTCCTTCACTTGGAATTTCCGTTTTTTCAGATCAAAATGATTCGTATCATAATTGGTAATAAACATTTTTATCTAATTTAAATAGTTTTTATTTGATTTGAATTTTTCCTTTAATTCTTTTATCAAATAGTGTAGAATACAAATTTTTATATATTATTGCTTTATAATAAAATTTACATGTAATAACTCTAAAATTCATATATATAATTCAAAAAATTTGTTTTTCTTTTTTTTCAAAAAAATGTTGATATTGTTGATATGAATTTCTATACCGAAATTGTTACAATAAATGTTTCATTTTTTTTTTTTTTGAGATAAAAGTTCTTGAAAACGATTGATACATAATTATCTTTGATAGAAATCTTTATTACCGAATCTTTCTCTCCACACTTTTCCTCTAAGATATACTAAAATTAAACATGAAGTACTGAACACAGTTATTACAACTAATAAAGTATAGGTCCATCCAGTTCCTAGTGCGTCTTCCAATGGTATGGAAATTAATGATGCAAATGCCGCTGAAATTCCACGAAGGAAATTTGAGACGGCTATTGCGGAAGCACTTCGACCTGGGAAGGCATCTACGAGGTAAGTAGAGGTGGAGTTGAATGTCAGATAAGTTGAAAAACCACCTGTAATTAATTAAATAATGAATGAAATGAATTAGATATAAAATGATATAAGATGATGTAAGATGCATGGGGATAAAATATTATAATAATAATAATAATAATAATAATAATAATAATAATAATAAAAAAGAAATAAATGAAAATAATAATAATAATAATCGTTCATACCAAAAAACATGGTAATTAATGGTAAAATAATATTAAGTCTCCATTGTATAAACCATCCGTAAGCCAAGAATGAAATTGGTACTCCAATTACACCTAACCATGAACTATTTAATCTCATTTCTGGATAACTCACACCACCATTTAGTGCTTTACATTTGGATAAAACAATATCCGAATATTTTCCTCCAATAAAACTTCCTATCATATATCCTGCACTTGGAGCCAAGAATACTAACCCTACATCTGCTGTATTTAAATTATATAACTTTTCAAAGGATCTTGGAACTAATGTATTTTGAACAAAGATTATAGCAAATACTGCACATATATAAACTTGAATTAATGAAACCCAAGGATGTTTTAATAAAGCTAAAGAAGAAAAAGGGTTAAATCTTTTTTGAGTATTGGTGTTGGTGGTTTGATTATAAAGCAAGCGCCGAGGAAGAGGTTGTTTACGGAAAGTTTCAGGCAAGGTGAAAAAGATGATAATTAATATTATCCCTCCAAAAATTGTTAATATCCAAAATATCCATCTCCAACCTAAAAAGAAAGTTACAAATCCTCCAATTATTGGACCAATGAGTGGTCCTATTAATGGACCTATATAGAAAATTCCATAAGAAGTACCTCTCTCTAAAAAAATACATATATAAAATATACTAGTTACATTAATTTATGAATTAAATAATATGAAATATATATATATAATATATGAAATATACACAAAAAATCATTTACCATGAACTGCAAAAATATCACTAATAGTTCCTGCACCAATACTTTGTACTGCTGAAGAACCACAAGATTGCAAACTGCGAAACACCATCAACGTCCAAATATTTTTTGCGAAACCACACATCACACTTGCTACGATAAATATAATGAACGATACCAAATAAATTTTTCGTCGTGTCCCAAACGTATCTGAATATGATGCCCATACTAATGGTGCCGCACCCTTGAAAAATATAAATACGGATACTATGAAAATTGGAATTTATAATTTTTATATATTTTAGTACTGGTTAATCACATGATGAAGACAGTAATAACTCACCAAGTCCATTGGCTAATACTGCGCTAGTGTGTAGATCATCTTTTATTTTAGGAATTGCTGGATAAAGGATTCTATATAATATATGTATTTGATATATTGCTTATTAACATAATTGAAAACAATAGAATCTAACTTGCCATTCATTTCTACCAATTTTACATACGTGCTAGAAATCGGTGCCAGAATTCCCGCCATAGCGACAATAAAAAGTATAAAATTCTTTCTACTTCTTGACCATTTTTGTGGATCATTTGGAATATTTTCAAATTCGTCATCCTCACTATCACTTGGTGAGGATAATTCGGAATAAATTTCTTCTTGATCAATGTTATTTCTTGGACGTAAAAATTCTGTCGAAGTGTTTACAGAAACTGGCATTTCATCATCACTTTGTGATGTTTGAGAAGTGCTCGAGACTGATAAAGCGTCTAAAGAAGTTGATCTTGGAGGCAAGAAGTGAGGTGAAACATAAGGTGAAGTATTATGAGGTAAGGAAGAAAGGTTTTGAATTGTGACTGATGATATTTGACTTGGGGAAGCCATCGAAAAATCGAAAACGAAAAGGTTATGATTAATCGTTTTTACTGTTCCTACTTATTCCGAAAATCACATGCAGTGTCAAGTTTTACTGGTACGACTTGTATGACTGTTATTATGTAATTTCTATAATATTTACGTAATTTTCAATAATGCACCATTGTAAAACAAGATAGTTACCGCAGCCATGTGTTATAAATTTATATTTTGATTGGTCAAAATGAAATAAATCTAATCTCAAAATTTTTGTGAGACGACGGGACGATACGACATGCAGTTTAAACAATGACTTTCAGAATTTATTTATTTATTGGGAACGATACATTATACATTTTTGATCAAAAAATTCAAAAAATTTATGACAAATAAAATGTTCATTTGTTGATCATCAAATTTGAGCTGGGATTGACGTTGGTTCTTTCTTTTCAAGATATTTTATTCTTTTTATTCCGGAATTTGGAGGTTCCCTCTTTTTTATCCCCTTTATTCCAGAGTTTGAAGGTTCCCTCTTTTTAAGATATTTTATCCCCTTTATTCCAGAGTTTGACGGTTCCCTCTTTTCAAGATACTTTCCAGAGTTTGGATGATCCCTCTTTTCAAGATAATTTATCTCCTTTATTCCAGAGTTTGGCTTTTCAAGATACTTTATTCCTTTTATTCCAAAGTTTGGAGGTTCCCTCTTTTTTATCCCCTTTATTCCAAAGTTTGGTGGTTCCCTCTTTTCAAGATATTTTATTCTCTTTACGCCAGAGTTTGGTAATTTCCTCTTTTCAAGAGACTTTGCTCGAGAGTTTCTCTTTCTTTGTCTGTTAACTCTTCTCTTAAAGTCTTCAATTACAAAAAAAAAATTTTTAAATAAATAAACTGATAAATTAAATTTATAATTGAGTGTAAACAGAAAATAAATCTTCCAGACGTAAGAATATTAATTTATTAATACCTCCTGCCACAAAGGTAACAAATAATAAAATGCTTAGTAAAAATAAGATACGATTAAATTTCATTTTCGTAATTTAATAATTCGTTTGAGGAAGAACTTTTTCGCTAGTTTTATATTTGCGTAAATTTTTGATAAAAAAAAAATTATGTTGGCGTAAAGGCGTTCAAATAATGAATTCCTATTTTCGTATAATACGTTTAAAATTAAATTCTTTTTTAATCTAAGGATAAACTTTTGTTATTTATGGATAAATTTGTCTCGAAAAAATGCTTTTCTAATGTGTTTATTTTGGTATCAGATGTATATTTGATGGTATCAGATGACATCTCAGAGAAAAAAAAGATTCGAATTTGAACTTTTTTTTTTTTTTATTATTATTTTTTGAGACTATCTTTCATATATAATCCAGATTTCAAATATTAATATGAGACATGCTCCTAGAGAAACAATAGGCATTACACCAAGATTCCATTTCAAGAATTGCCAATATCCAATTTGCATTTTTTTGTCACGTAAAATCTTATCCCACCTATAAATTAATTATGATTTGAATTAAATATTTGATCATATTATCCTCCACAAAAAAAAAATGTTACTCACATTAAACCTGCTAATGCTCCAACAACTGTAAAACAAGCGCCTACATTGCTTCCAATTACTAACGCGAAAAGGCAACCTATCTTTACCGATTCTGTTACATGTTCTGCTTGAGAAAAATTTGGGTGTTGTATAACTCGCGTCAATAAAACTGTCATAGGTAAATTATTTAATAGGTTGCAGAGAACTATAGAAATAGTTGCTGTTACAAACACAGCGGGTATATATGATGGTGTTAGAGTCGAAAAAATTCTTGCAAATAAAGCTATCCATCCTAATGAGGAAAGCGCTGCCAAAGATAGTTTTCAATTAATTAACTATTTTTTTAAAAAAAATAAAATAAAATAAAAAATAAAAATAGAGAATAATGATTAATTCTTTAAGGTTATTTACCTTCAACAAGAATAAACATGCCAATTGAGAATGGAAGAAGACTTCCAGGCATTCGAATAAATACAGAATACATTGTTGGAAATATATTTTTGAAAGAGTAACAATGCCATTTTGATTCCCCAATTTCGTTTTGTAATTCTAATTCTAAATTTTCAAAATTTTCAGCTATTATGTCAGATTCCAAATCTTTCTTATCGACATTTACTATAGTTCTATCGCTACTAAAATCAATTGTTGTATTAAATTCAGTGTTTGATTTTCTTTTTTCTTGATTTTCTTGCGCATCATTTCGTATCTTTCTTCTATCAATTAAATCATAAATAATATCTTTTATCATCGATGCGACGGCAAAAGGTAATGTTACGACCCAAACTTTAATTTTTGTGAAAGAAGTAGCCATTAATGCAATCAAACAAAGTCCTAATAAAATCACTCCTAAAATAGCTCCAAATTTATCTTTTAAAACTTCTCTTGGATTTCTTTTTGGTGGGTCAACATAATTTGGAATGAATTTAGGATTTCTAAAGACTATTCTAAGAAATATGTAGGCAAGAATAATTGATACAATAGTTGGAGCAAGCATCCATGCACTATATTTTACGAAAGAAATGCTATAAGCTTGAGAAACAATTACATTCGTTGGATTACCAATGTAAAGTGTCATTGAGGCTACAAATTAATAATTAATATTATTAAACTTTTAAAAACTGGATTTTTTTTTTTTTTTTTTTTGTTTGTTTGGATGGATAGATTACCAATATTAGCGGCCATAAATTCTGAAATGAAAAATGCGATAGGAGGATTTATGTTTGCTTGTTTCGTATAATATACCAAGAAAACTATTTTGGATTTCAAAATTATATTAAATATATTATTTATTAATATGTTTTCTTATTTAAGGTCAATTAATTTCTTACTTGTTCCTGTCAAAACTACTACATCGTTACTAGTAAATGCACTCATCAAATTAAATAAAATAAAAAAATAGGTAAAAAGTTTTTTCCCATTCTTTCCGCTTCTGTTGGAGAACCAGTACGCACAAAATTCAACAAATCCTGTTAAATCTAATGAAACGCATATATAAGCCTACAAAATAAAATTTATAATAAAATATCTGACATTGAAAAGTAATATTAAAAAAGAGTGATACATACCAAAGCATAAAATAAAATCATTATACTATATGGTTCAATTCCTTCGCTGCCTACGAATCCATTAATTATTATTCTGAAATCTATACTTCCACTTGCTAACAATATTATTATGGCATAATATGGAGCAGATGCCAAATTAAATGGAATTTTAATTCGCGATGAATTTATCAATCCTTTAGTGCCTGGGATTGGTAATTTTAGGGGAAATATCACGAAAAATATTACTAAGAGGAAAAACGATAGAGCTACCCATGAATGCACGTCTAAAGAACGATCTTGTCCCATAATTTTTGTTTTTTGATAAATGAAGAAATTGTCTGCCAAATATTTATGTGCCAAAAAAGAAATAATCAATTAATTAAATTTTAACTATTATGAATTCGTAGTCTCTACAAAAAATAAAATACATAGTTGTAAACAATATGAAGTCGAGATTATTTTCAAAGTTATTCCAAAATTGAAAATCTAATTAAAAATTTATGTATTACCTCCCCAAATTGGCGTTCGGATAAAAAGTAATCGATTTTTCCAAATATTTAAAAGGAAATCTAAATAATTTCGAATGTAATTTCTTTCTAATGAATTATTATAAGATTTATTGTGTTATTTAATCGTCAAAATCGATATTATTGGGAAAGCAATAATTTTTTCAAATATTATTCAGCTTTATTGTGTCATTTAATCGTCATTACATTATGTTAACGGACGGAGTATTTCCATTTTTTTTTCCGCCGTTAAGAAACTTTTCTAACAGCAATTCTTATATTACCATTATCATTTTATTTATAATTACTCTTTATTATTATCTTTTTCTATTATCTAGCATTTTTTATACATTTCATTGAAACTGCACTGCAGGATTGCCTGCACATCTCCTCCTCTTCGAGATTGTTACAAAAGCAGAGAGAAACCTTACAACTGACAAATGAATAAATAACACATAATAAATAATACATGTTTTCTATCGAATAAACTGTTACTGATTCTTGTTACTTTGATTTATTTCATTTATCATTCTTTTGATATCTAGAACTAAATTCTTTCTTTTTAGATAACTCTTCCAATTCGGAACCGTCCAGATATCAATGGTCCTCTTGAAGAAAATATTCATAATCTCAAATAAAATAAAATGTACTATATGTATAATAAATGTCTATTCCTTTCTTTAGTCATACATAATTGGAATGTAGTATTATAAAAACAAATATAAAGTTGTTTTATACTTTAGGATCTCTCTGTCATTCCAGTGAAGATATCTTCTACAAATTATGCTTCCGCTGCCAACATTAAAAATACCTTCAAAACGTTTATAAACGCCAAATAATTTATTATCATAAGTTCATTTCTTCCCTTTGTTGTTATAGTTGATAATCTACTTAACACATAAAGTGAACGTCTTTCTCGGATGTGGATGTTGGTATTGCTGTGGCAGCGCAGCTTGCTTTCTTCTGCTTATTAGTAGTTGTAGTTTTAGTAGTTGAATTGTTGAGATCTTGTGACCAGATTCTTGACATAAAACTATAAAAGTCATATGACTTATGCGTAATGAATCGTTTTTGATAGGAGGACCCTTATCCGAGATATTCGAATTTTATTGGTCCATAGTTTATCAGGTGATCACAAATGTTACACGTGATATATTCTAGGTGACAAATATGGTTTTCGCATGTAAAGTCCCTAGGATATTTAATAAAAATTGATATTCGAAGGATATTACACATGGTGATAAATATGTATACTACCTTTGGCAAATCTAATTCTAACCTGTGCATTTAATGGTAAACTAGAATAAGAGTTTATATCTCCTGGTAATGTTGTGATCCTTAATACAATAAATTTAAATAGATCCTATAATCTGATAGTTCAGATATAGATTTTTAAAAGGATTTAAATTCATTTATAAAATAACATGTGATCTTAAAAATTATACAGTATATATAACTTAGTCCTAGCAAATAATATTGTCAATATTCAAATCACTACTTCTCTCTCAAAAAGAAAAGTAAACACAAAATAAAATTGTAGGATAATAGAACAGACCAAGCTCAATAACTCCATATTTTTAAATTTTCTGTAAAATAATTTTTAATAATATAGTAGCAATAGATATTTTGATCACTTTATATAGAATGTATATGATAAATTTTCTTATCATTGATTGGCTATTTTATATTCATATGACATCAATCATTAATTATTACAATTGTTTTCAATTCTGTCATAACACTTGTTTATTAAAAAAAAATTGAAAAATTGAAACATAAGAATTTTAATATTTAAAATGATTATTAATATTTAAGTTTATTATTTTGTATTAATATTTTTCTTTTCTTTTTTTTTTTCTTTTGTAAATCAAATAACAAATTTACTAATTATTAATTGATTATAAAACTGAGTTAAAAACTTGATAATGTGAATAGTATTTTTAACAGCAAATTCTGCTACCTGGCCTGTTAAACCTTTTCAATACACATCCATATAATAAAATACTTTTTTTTACATATTAGTAAATAGTTATAAGTGGAATAGAAGCAAGAATCAATGGAATAATTTTTTGTAATCCTGTTCATGAGTAATTACAATTTGATTAACTAAATTTTTTAGCTACATCCTAAAAGTTAATAAAATTAAACTCATAGTAAAATTTAAAATAAAATATAATTTAATATCTAGCTACAACAATAATTTCTTTTAACCATCCCTTTAGTGTTAAAAAATCTAATTGCTGACTCATTACTTTTTGTACTTCTTTTAATTTTAACCTCTCATTTGGTTACAATTTTCTTTTTACTAAAATTTATTTTAATTCTTTTGATTATTCACATAATTCAAAAATATAATAATTTAATGAAAAAAATTATATTTTGTAAAATTCCTTTATCAAAATATGTTCTACATATTTTAAGCTACTTTTTATCAAAGCTAAGGTTCATATATTTAGCAATAAGTGTATTTGACAAAAAAGTAGAATAACTTGTTATATTGTCAAATATAAATAAGACTTTATATCTTAAAAAATATACTTCAAATATAGAAATAGCACATTTAACTATTTGATTTATTAAATTATTAGTCTTCTATTATTCATCATTATTTTTATCTGGATGTATAATAATACAAGTTTCTTTAGAAATATTATTATTTGATATCTACATTCAAATTTCTATTAAAAAATTACTAACATGAATTGAACAACCATTATTTTTTTTTTTGTAGGAATTGTTCTCCATTAGGAATTTAAAGACTTTAACTTCTATCATAAATCAAAAAATACACTTATCATGTGTGAAAAGAATAAGTAATTGTATATTATTATTTAGTCAAGTTATTTTTTCCATATTGTTTTTTGAAAAAATAAGTATCCTATACTCAAGTTCACTTATCCATTTTAAAAATATTTTTCAATAGGTCACTACATTTTCTCTTTTATGTTCATTTATATACATTCCTTTCTTTACCTTTTTATATTTGTATCTAAGCTCTTTTAAATAATTTCTTACAGTATTAAGATAAATATTTAGAGATAGTACAAATCCAAGTAAGGATAAAATAATCTCATTCATCTGTATTATTAGTATTTGTGAAATAATATTCTACTTATGCTCCTGTGCATATAATTTTACTTGAAGAATAATATTCTCATCCCAAAGAAAACTCTATATTTTCACATGATGTCCTTGATGAGAATAGAGAATTTGATAAGTTATTATATATTCATATACCTAAGAACAAATACATTTGACATAATAAATTTCTTTTTCTACTATATTAGCAATAACTTTACTTGTACCTATTTTTAAGTAGTTACTTTTTACAAGTTGAAGATAAAAACAAATTCTATTTAGACATATTCAAATTTTATTTTTTATATTTATTTTTTTAATATCTAATTTTAGATTAGATTTTCAAGAGTTATTAAAATCTTATTATTCCAATTACAATCTTTTTTTTTTAAAAAAAAAAGTTTCAGTAAGGTTTTGCCTCAAATTTATTAACTAAAAAAAGAGAAAGTCTCTTACATTATTATTACATAATATAAGATACACAACTTAT